TATCCAGAACCATGCCTGATCCTAACCCTAACCCATTCAGGCATAGAACGAGATAGACACGGTCCTGGATAGTCTCTATTGTATCCAGAACTGTGCCTATTTAGTTCTATGCCTGAATGGGTTAGGGTTAGGATCAGGCACGGTTCTGGATAGTCTCTGCAGATCCAATGGTTCTGGATACACATGGATTATCCAGAACCATGCCAGTTCTGGATACTAGTATACTAAAGCTGCTATGCCTGGTGCCCTGCAGTACCAGTATTAACAGGTAGGTGGCAGTGCTGTACTGTACCTGACCAGACAGGCGTTGTCCCCAGTCTGCCAGCACACACAACATTCCGTCCTCACGTCTGTGTCTCTCACACGCCGCTCTCGCCGCTTCTCTGGCTCCTAAAAGTAGAAATTATTTTTACAATGTATATATTTCACCAGAAAACAGCTGGGTAGCCCATGCAGCTAGTAGAAGCTGCTTTCCAATGGGGCCCAGCATACATTTTACAGTGGATACTAGCTGGAAAATCTGACCGTTTCCAAACTCATATCCAGTTGCTTGAGTAACTGCTTTTTGGCATATCGTATTACCTGGATGTCTAACCTTCATCAACGAAACTACAGCTCTATTTATCCTTACTCAAACACATTCATATATATGGTGACCAGCCCCTCCAACTGTCCTGCCACTTGTTACATAATGTAATCCAATGCCACAGGGTGTCTGCTACAGCACCAGGTACCATGGTGACAGCCACCCGGTCCAGGTCTTTGACATTACTAGTTTGGATTTTTTAAACTTAGAAGCAGCAAAAAACTATGAAGGTACACATAAATCCCCAAAAGTGCACATATTTCAAACAAAATCTTCACATCAGATTTAAACTTAAGAAATCGTACCTTGGTCTCCCCCTCCTTCTCCCTGACTTCTGATGTCTTTAGCTTGGCTTTCTTGGATGGCCTGGTTCGGTGGCCCTTCATTTTCTGTGTGCAAGAAAAAATTATTCATTTATGTTATTGGTTAGTTGCTGTTTTTTCTTTATTATTATTGCCATTATCATTATTTACTTTATCCCAATTTTATTATTTATATTTGCTGTTGTGTTTTGCTGTGTAAAACAGGGCCCCATTGAAAAGAAGTGCAATCACCCTGTATAAAAATGACAGAAAATAAATAAATAAAAATAAAATCATCACCAAGAGGACAATAGAATAGTTTTGCCACAAGTTGCTCACCAGGCTCTATCTGATTGGTTTAGGGGGTAATTTGATACTCACCAGGCCCTTTTTGATTGGTTGAGGGGTGAACTTGATTGGTTCCTTGATCTGACGGCGCGTACGCCGCGTCCCATCATTCCCTGTTTCGGGCGTTGCCGCTGACGACGCGTCACTTTCCGAACTACTGGCACACTCCGAACATTGCCTGGGGGGGGGTGTGTGAAACAAAACTGTTATCTTCAACAACCAGCTGACAACCTAATACCAGCTCAGAAGAGAACAAGAAATAGCCACGCCTTCAAGTACCAGAGTTACCAACCAAGGATTGAGGTGTTCAAAATTTCATTCTTTCCTAGAACTATCGCAGAGTGGAACTCACTGTCACCAAGTCTACAGTTAAGGGGCATTGTCATTAGATAGCTCCGAACATTGCCTGGGGGAACACAACAGTCATCTTCAACAACTATAGTATGGTCATCAAAGTAACAGTTACTCAAGCAGCTGGATAGATTGTCCAGGAATGCATCTACAGCTGCAGCACACCTGTGCTGCAGTGCAATGTGAACCAGTCAGAATTGACAGACGGTCACCGAAACATCGGCTGAATAAAAGACTTGGTTGTGTAAAAAGAGTCTCTTTACTCAAGGTGGGTCAGATTTCTCACATCACTTCAAGGAAGTGAAATGTTCTTTTGGGCTTTTGTGTGTGTGGACTGGAAGGGTGAAGTCTGGTTGCAATGCAAAGCTAAGAGTCTCTTTACTCAGTGTCTTACATGTACCAACCTGATTAAACTATTCACGGATGCGAAACAAACAAACACAATCATTTACCATCCGATGGTTGCGGTTTTCTTGGGCATCCTGGAGAGTGGGGGGTCGAGGCAGCCCAGGTGATAGAACAGCCGACAGGTGTCACACTTCGCCAGCAGGTGCTGGTCACTGGTCTGCTTACAGATGCCACACCTGGAAAAACACACCTGAGTCAATATGGAATCTCACACCTGGAAAAACACACCTGGATCAATATGGGATCCCACACCTGGAAAAACACACCTGAGTCAATATGGGATCCCACACCTGGAAAAACACACCTGAGTCAATGTGGGATCCCACACCTGGAAATACACACCTGGGTTAATATGGGATTCTCGGATTTCGCCTCTTCATTTTTTTCTGATTTGATTCTGGTTCTGAATCAACTAAAAAATTGCTCCCAACAGTTGAGGAAAGTCCTTTTCTTTCTAGTCGTTGCAGTTTTTCCATCTTTCGATGCAACGGTATCAGTTCAAAATTCATTGTTTAAATTTTGAACCAGCCTGGTGTGTTGACTTCATGGCTCCTATCGTACCATTTTGGGCCATAATAGGATGCCTAGACCTGTTTTTATTTTTTTTCGCCCGCCCGCTCCATTATTTTTCTAGAAAAATCCGTTAACCAAGAAATTAAATTGCTGTGGCCTTACTGGTGTATGACAGGTTGAGACTTAAGACTGTCCCTCCTTGGCTCTCTCCTCGGTGACTTGGGCGGTTTTAAGACGTTGGGAAGGGCCAGTTTCTTGCCGGTGATCTCTCCAAGACATGTCCATAAGGACACTCCCTGGGTCTGCAGCTGGCCTGTGGAGGACTGGAGACTCTCCACTTCTCCTGACAACTGTGGACAAAACATACAACAGATAGTTTTAACTTTTATTATCATATAGCCAGGTGGCGTTTTAGCAAAATCTGTTCAAAACGTATCAATGCCTCCTGCTGTAGTGGCCTGTGTGTATGGGAGTTGGGAGTTAAACACACATCACTACCAGTGGACTAGCCCCCTGCTGTAGTGATTGCACAACTGTGTGTGGCCCAAGGCAACTGAAATGCAGATTTTGTCCATAAGGACACACCCTGGGTCTGCAGCTGGCCTGTGGATGACTGCGGAGACTCTCCACTTCTCCTGACAACTGGAAGAGGACCAAAGTTTTAGCTCACTGAAGAGCTAATCTCCCACTGGTCATGACAGAGACACAGGCACATAGAAACACACACACTCACACATAACAAACATGCACACGCACACACAGACACACACACACACACACACACACTTCTCCTGACAGCTAAAAGAGGAAAAAAGGAATGGGTTAGGGTTAGGATCAGGCACGGTTCTGGATATTCTCTGTTGTATCCAGAACTGTGCCTGTCTAGTTCTATGCCTGAATAGGTTAGGATCAGGCACGAGACATATCCACAAGGACACGCCCTGGGTCTGCAGCTGGCTTTGGAGGACTGGAGACTCTCTACTTCTCCTGACAACTGAAAGAGGAACAAAGGAAAAAGTGTTCAGGCCTCAAAATTAACTTTTCTTCCTATTATTCCAGCACTGTCCCAAAAATAAATTAACGTACTTAGTCATATTCTTCTGAACTTCCTCAATAACATTTAACTTGACAGAAAGAAAAGGCTTGAAACAAACTTTCATATTACAAACTCTGGATATTGTAAATCTGAACTAAACAATCTCTGAACTATATTAACCGAGGACAATGCATATTTTATATTTTTGTAATTTATTATATATATAGTTAAGGTTTCAGATGTGATCCCACAGGCCTTTTTATCCATTAAAAAATGTATGTATCTGACCCACCTTGTCGTACTTATCCCTGAGCGAGGTCTCCTCCTCTCGAAGTTTGTCGTGTTCCGACAGAAGTCCCGCCAGCTTCAGCTTCAGCGACTCAACACGGTTGTTACGGTCTGGGGAGAGGAACAACCAAAATTTGAACAACTCTCATAACAGGAAAGCTTAAACAATGAAGGAGGCTCAATAATAGGCCTATTATTGAGCGTCCTTCCATGACTGTATGTTTATGAATTTGATAGGACTTCAACCATGGACCTCACCAATGCACCACAGACACCACTTAGTTAAGCCAGTCATTTAGTAGTTGCTGGTTTTATACCTAGATAGTAGAGCGCAAACTCCGGAGAGATAGCCGGCTGGATGTGCCACCTCCTCCTCACGTCCACGGTGGTGTAACTGGTTGTGTGCTCCGCTCCCTATGGTGAACAAACATGTAGTGATTAATGAACACATTAAACTGGTCTGTTTCAAACATAATACATGTACATGTTGGAATTTGTGTATAACTCCATCAGGTTGGCAAGAGAATGTACAGCAAGGTTCTTTAGGCCGAAAAGCAGTTACTCAAGCAACTGGATATGATTTTGGAAACGGTCACCGTTGCTTTAGTAACTGCTTTTAGGCATATCGTATCACCTGGATGTCTAACCTTCATCGACGTTACAAAGTTCTTTGTTTAAGAACCAGTGGATTTTTACATCTGATGTTTTGGTGCCCATCTGTCACCTTCAGGGCAACAATGACTAGTTCTGATTTGTACTGCAGCTAGGTGTTACTACTGGTGATTATGGACAGGGTTAAAGGTTACAGGTCAGAGTGTGAGGCAATGATTATGGACAGGGTTAAGGGTTAAATGTGAGGTGGTGACCTGACCTGCGAGGCCAGTCCCATGAGGTCAGCCTTCCTCAGCAGCCTTCGGTAGGCAGAAGGGCTGGTGGTCAGCAGACGGGGAAGCTTCTCAGAGGAGGCTGTAGATGAACAGATGGGTAAACATACCAGTGACGCAAATTGAATGGTTGATCTGTTTATCATCAACTTGTGAAAGTTAACTTTGCTACAGCTCAGTCTGAGATAGCACGACAGTGGATGAATTCTGTATCTGTATCTCTATCATTCTGTATAGCTGGTATAACTGTCTTTTAACATACAAAATGCGACAGAATTATGTTTGGAAATTTAGTCCATACTTTTTGAGTTAGAGAACAGTTTAATTTTTGCATAAATAGTTCCTATGTAAAGCGTTTCTACTCACACCAGGGGTTGAAGAGGTTCCTCATGGCTCGCTGGTAACGCTGCTGGGAGTGCTGCAGCTTCCTACCAAACCTCTCCTGGACGGGAGAAAATAACACTCAACAGTCAGTACTCTGTGTGTGTCTGTGTGTGTGTATGTGTGTGTGCATGTGTGTACATGTGCTGGTAACGCTGCTGGGAGTGCTGCAGCTTCCGACCAAACCTCTCCTGGACAGGACAGAATAGCAAACACTCAACATTCAGTACTGTGTGTACATGTGTGTGTGTGTGTGTGCATGTGTGTACATGTGCTGGTAACGCTGCTGGGAGTGCTGCAGCTTCCGACCAAACCTCTCCTGGACAGGACAGAATAACAAACACTCAACATTCAGTACTCTGTGTGTGTGTGTGTGTGGTGTGAGTGTGTATGTGTGTACATGTGTGTGTACATGTGTGTGTACATGTGTGTGTGTGTGTATGTGTGTGCCTGTATGTTTGTGTGTGTGTGTTTGTGTGTCCACACACCTTGTTAGACTCCCATGCTGCCTGTATCCTGAGCTGTGCCTGTCGGATAGAAGACTGCATGGCCATCCAGTGTTGTCTCTTCTGTTTCATGGTGTCTCTGTCCACGTGCAGCTTACAGTGGGCAAAAAACGGATCCGCTATGTCCTGTACAGGGGAGATGGGTTGAACTGTTACTGAGGCCACACCAATTTAAGTTGTTGGTTCTCGGATTCGCCTCTTCATTTTTTTCTGATTTGCAAAAAAAAAATTCTGGTTATGAATCAACTAAAAAATGCTTTTATTTTGAATGAGATTTCTTCCTCACCTCATCAGGAGAAGCCTCAGACAGTAGTCCCATTCTCTGGGCACTGAAACACACATCGTTAAGATGAACAAGATATGGCAAAAAAGTAAGAGTCAATATCTGAAAAGTACATGTATGCTCACAAAACACAAAGCTACTGAAATGCAGAATGATGTAAGGTAACAGAAGATCCCATAACTTACCATGTAACATGGAAGTAGTTCCTGCACATGCCAGCATCACAGCCGATACACACACCTGTCCTACTGAACCGCTCATCCTCACACAGGCAGCAGTCCTAACAGCATAGGAAATAAACAGTATCTGTTGAGAAGGCTCTCAAAAAATATCTGAAGAATGTCTTCCCTCTTGGCCACAACAGAATGAGTGAGGAATGAGATCATTCAGGGCTTGGAATTCATTTTTGGGAATAGGTGCACAATTTTTTTGGGGGTGCACCATATAAAACAAAACCTAATTACAGATCTTACTGGGAGCTAATTTCAAAATCTAAAAAGTACTACAACAAAGATTTTATTATTTTTCTGACACTTTGATGCCAAGAATATCCTGTATACTATTATAGATTTGATATGTACAAATTTTAAAATACCTACAAAAATACTTGGGTGCAACAATGCACCCACAGAAAAAAAATTGGGTGCACAGCTCCAATTTTGGGTGCACTAAGGTGCACATGCACCCAGTATCTTAAGCCCTGAATGTAATCTTCAACAACAGATTCTTCCACAATATCTGGAACTAAAAACATGATTGGTGTTGCTTACCCGTGAGCCCCATTTGGAGTAGGGCATCTCGGCCAGTGTGACAGGACTGAGTTTCTCCACATCTCCAAACGCAACGCCGGGGATGTACAGGGCACACACCACATGCACCCACCTGTAGACAATGTAAAAATGTCAAAATCACTGAAATTTAACCCAAAACTTTGTTCAAAATGCTACACTAGGAAAAAATGTGCATGTACAAGGCACAAGCCACATGTACCCACCTGTAGACAACATAAAAATGTCAAAATCACTCAAATTTAACCCAAAACTGTGTTCCAAACGCTACTAAGGGGCACACACCACATGTACCCACCCGTTAGGAACATAAAACTGTCAAAATCACTCAAATTTAACCCAAAACTTTTCTACAAATGCTACACCTGTCCAGTAATGTACCTGTACACCACATGCATCTATCTGGGAACAGCATCAAATGGTCAAAATCACAAAAATCAGCATCAAACTGTCAAAATCATTGAAATCTACCCCAGAATTATGTTTATCATGCACTAGCCCAAAGTAAACTGTAACATTGATAAAATGGGTGCCAAAATAAGACTAGTTTTATACCTGCCAGCATCAGTCTGCTTGTAGATTCCCTCCATGTTAGGACACAGCTCACAGGACTGGGGACAGAAACAACAGTTTATTTGTTTGGAGAAGAAGAAGAGAAAGAAGAAACAGAGCAAAAACAATATGTTTTCCTTCTGCGAAGGTAAATGTGATTATCCTATCATGAAAGTTCATCTGTGTTGTTTGGTCCAACATGAAAATTTCTCTCACATAGAGCTTTCGACCAGTCACTCTGGCCTTCCTCAGTAGACTGAGCCTGTGAAGCTGGTCCATCATATCACCCTTCATTGAACTGCGACGGGGGCCAACATCGTCTACCAGCTACCTTTGACCCAGTGTTGATGTCACATTTCAAAGAAGCCATGTGACAAGCTTCACTGGGTCAGTCTACTGAGGAAGACCAGAGTGACTGGGCCAAAGCTCTAGGTGAGAGAATTTTTTGTGTTGGACCAAAAGTTTTAACTTTAAACAAACGTGATTATCGTCCTCACCGGTTTGACCCCGGCCCTGCAGGCATCACAGAACCAGGGCTCTGTGGAGGAGGAACTCTGGGAACTGGAGGTGGAGGCGCTGTCACTCACATGCTCACCATAGCAACCTGCATGGCAACAGCCAATCACAGCCCAGCACTCTCAATTTGAACTTGGAAGGAACTTTAAATCTCAATCATGTGTTTAAGATGACCGTTTCCAAAATCATATCCAGTTGCTTCAATATCTGTTTTTGGCGTATCTCATTACCTGGATGTCTAACCTTTGCCGACGTATGTGTTTAGATGGTATACCTTGACAACCACGTCATGCTTTAAGTTATATACATGTAACAGTAATAATTATACCATTGGTGTAGAGAAGAATGTTCTTTTATATAACATCTAAGATAATAATACAATTTATGTTTTTTTTTGTAGTTTATAAAACACCGGTAGAACAATCCACTTAACAGCAGAAAGGCTGAATTGCGTGGAAACTTGACCTTGACCTTTGACCCTACCTTCATGCACAGCGTTGCCACAGTTGTCACATTCCACAATCTCATCGTCCTCTTCACTGGTAAATAACAACAAACAAACATTTTACTTCAAAGTGCAGTAAACACACATGTGACATATTGTTGTCAGTGATATGAAAGACCCTCACAATCGTTTATGTCATCTGTATAATATGACGTCACAAAAGCAGTGGATTGCTCGTTTCTTGACAAAGACTGGATTTGGGTGGGTCCAATTTCTTTTGTTGGAAATTACAGTTTAAATTTGCTTCAATTTAAACTTGTTACAGTTTAAACTTGCTAACCTGATCGCCCCACGTACAAAGTGATTTTTTTGCCTACAAAACAGATGTTTATACTACTAATTATGAATTTTACTCCAGATTTTCGGAGATTGGGACTCCTCAAGATTGTGAACGTAGCAGAACGTGTTTGTTGTTTCCTGCTTACCTGACACTGCCCAGACAGATGGAACAAATCAGCACCTTCAGAGAGCCAGACAGCTGCACTTCACTCGACTACAGATAGGGGGCAGCACATGTCAGTAAAAAACATTCTGTACAAGTATTTCAACACAAGTAAAGATGGGCATTATCACTTCTAGTGGTCATAAAGCTGCTATGGATATGCTTGGGGGAAGAGAAATAGTGTGGTTGCAAGGGTCACTACTCTTTTATTATTACAAGATGATGCCAAACAAACAAATAAACCAAACATACCGGAGCTTCGCCAAAAAATAGTTACTCAAGCAACTGGACATGATTTTGGATCCACTACCTTTTGTCAGTGACACTGGAGAAAACATCTGACCATTTCCGAAATCATATCCAGTTGCTTGAGTACTAGTAGTAACTCTTTTTCAGCATATCTTATTACCTGGATGTTCAACCTTCACCGACATAATCTCCAAGCAGATCATACGGTGGCAAGGCAGTATCCATTGGCCAGAGGAGTGTCTGAATAACGGATACTGCCTATCCAATTTGATACTGTCTTTTGCGATCGCTGAAAGATCTGCTTGGAGATTACGTGACATACCTGTGCCTGATTGATTGATTGATTGATACCTGTGCCTGCAGTAGCCTGATTGATTGATTGATTGATACCTGTGCCTGCCGTAGCCTGATTGATTGATTGATTGATTGATACCTGTGCCTGCCGTAGCCTGATTGATTGATTGATTGATTGATACCTGTGCCTGCCGTAGCCTGATTGATTGATTGATTGATACCTGTGCCTGCCGTAGCCTGATTGATTGATTGATTGATTGATACCTGTGCCTGCAGTAGCCTGATTGATTGATTGATTAAATGGTTGATTGATTGATTGATTGACTGACTGACTGATCGATTGATTGATTGATCAATTGATTGATTGATTGATTGATTGATACCTGTGCCTGCCGTAGCCTCGTTGATTGATTGATTGGTTGATTGATTGATAGATAGATTGATACCTGTGCCTGCCGTAGCCTGACGGCCTCCACCATCTTGGCCATGTTGAGAGACCGGCTGCTGCTGGACACGACGCTGTTGTTGTCAGAGTCGGAGTCTTCTCCGCTTCCAGAACTCCTGCTGTCTGCCGAGCCACTGTCTCCTGCACTTTCTGATCCACTCCCTCCTGCATCTACACAACAACAGGGAGTTAAAAGTTAAAATTTTGATCCGAGACAAAAAGATTCTCTCACCTATAGCTTTCCACCAGTCACTCTGGTCTTCCTCAGTAGACTGACCCAGTGAAGCTTGTCACGTGGCTTCTTTTAAGTGTGACTGGTCGAAAGCTCTAGGTGAGAGAACTTCTTTGTGTTGAATCTAAAGTTTTACTACCAACACTGATGCACTTTCATGATAAAAACAGGGATGAAAAGAGAAGAAAAGTAACTCTCACCCCTGCCCGGCTCCAGCTGATAATCGCTGTCGTTGTCGCTGTCATCCGACCCAAACGCCACCTAGCAGAATGGTTTATTATGACATCAGCTATGTAATATCACAACAATCACAGCCCAAAGGCTGGATTGATGAAGCAATATTACAGAAATTGACTGCAAAATATTCTAAAAAATTTTTACACAAGCTAAAATCAAAAGCAAATGTTTTACGGTAAGCATAATCAATTCACGTATACATGTACATGTACATGTGTGTAATGATTTAGTAATAAATTGAAATGCTTAAAAATCAGATAGAAAAGACGTAATATTACCTGTAACAGGTGAGATTCAACAGGCTTCACACGGCGCTTACGGGGGTCACGTTCCACTGTGGGGGGGGGAGTATATCATTATCATCATCATCGGTTATAGAGAATAAAATTGTAAAATCGGTCTCACAGTAGAAAGACGGAATTGCATCGACTTTTACAACACACGATTATATACGATTTACTTGGCTTGTGTGTCCTTTATTTGAACACAAGCAACTGGAACAATATAATTCGATCGGAACGACCACTTTGTGTAACGAAACATGTTTGGGGTAGGGGGGCTTCAGCTTTGACACAGGTCAAAGGTGGTTGATTGATTGATTGATTGATTGATTGATTGATTGATCGATTGATTGACAGACAGGTGGGTACTCACACATGGCGCGGAACAGGAATCCGACATCATCCGGAACATCACTGCCTTCCTCGTCTGAACGACCTTGGTCCGACATCTTGGGTTATTCCAAGGTCACCACTTCACTGTTCAGAAATAATTCATAAAATGCTTACGTTTCAGTTTCCAAGCTCTTCAAAGCATACATGTATGTGGGTAACCTTAATATTTTGTAATGTAGTCATTTCAGTCAAACCTGTAAAATTGAAGACCTTTGCATGTTAGGACTGCTTTGTTTCTTCCCTACAGTTTGTTTTCCCCACAATTTGACCCATAACTTACATAGCATTGAACCATGTCTGTAGTAGTGTACTAGTAGTAGAGACTCTACCAGACTTTGGGAGGTTGGCTGGAAAGAATTGACCAAATAGAGAGATAACAACCTTCTAGCGGACCAACTCTCCCGGCATGTTATCTATTTGGCCAATTTCTACTCTTTCCAAAGCCTGGTACTGGTAGAGGCAAGTATACTGGTCACCTGTCTACAACCAATACTTGAGGCATGTTTGATTGTATGACGGTACAGGATATTCTTTATATAGGATCACTGACTCTGAACATACATGTAACCTGGAATAGTTACTAGTAACATACCATCTGTTTACTTAAGTTAGGGCAATCTTATTTAATGGGGCATCATCTGGCTCGCTTCCTTTGTGATTTTAGTTACCCGAATTTTCTAGGCCGGGTTATTCTATTTCGGCAAATGTGGAGGGGTGTCGATGGCATTTTATATGCAGATTTGTAAGATATGCTTGTAAGATTGAGTTAGAATCAGCCACAGATCTACGGGGCACTAAAAATAACGTGTTAATAAAATTTAGTTAACCCCCTGTTTCGGTAAAATGGCATCATCCAAGTTTCATACTATCCTTTTCTTTCTTTACAATATACAGGCACAAAAACCGGCTGAAAACCTTAAACTAACGTTTCTAACAGACTTGTACTCAAGCCTTTAAACTCCTGTACTGACAACAACCCTTAGAAAGAGAGTACTCGACTCCTAGTCGCCATTTTCACCCTCTAAATAAAGAATTTCCAGCCTTACCTTGATTTAGAGTGTCACAACGCAAAAGGTTTGAATCCTACTCTTTGTTTGGGATTTCATAGCTGCCTGTTAAATTGATACTGAATTGTGATATTCAAATAATAAAGATATGCTAGAATTGTATTTTATCTACATTATACGAGACTTAAGTTTATAAAAAGTTATTTGCATGAGGTGTTTGCGAAGGATAAATTTTGATAACTTATTTTTAGGCACTGATGTTTTCGTACATAGGCCAGCTACATCCGGGACCTTGCCGCACGATTTTGCCTGAGCGAAGTTTGGGCGAAGGTTGTCATTTCTTCATCATTTCTGCGCCGCTAAAACCGTGAAAAATGGCCGAGACAGGCACAAAACTGCCGCACACGAGAGGAAAGGGGGTGTGGGGTATCATCAGGAAGCTGTTCGTGCCGCACCACGAGCCGTCGGTAAGGTTTTCGGCGGCGCGAGCCGTGTTTTTATCCCCGCCAAGGTCGTAGCCTCCATAGCTTGCCAAAAACTGGGGGTTTTCAGGGTCTTTGGGAGCTTTTATGTGCTATTTTCTGATTGCATATAGACAACATAGCCGGCCTGGTTGAATTACCCCCTTTGGGCTAATCAGAAAACAGCCGAAGACCACCAAACCCACAGTTCTATAGGCCTGCTACGGAGGCTATAGTATATGGTGCTGCGCCGTTCGTCCAAAAAAAAATGGCCGCTCAAATTTAGGGGGGAGGGGGGCGCGACCTTGACACTTTGCGATCGGTGTTGTGCCAAAACGCACGTAGGCAGGACCTGGGCCAAAACTCTCCAGCTGAGTTCCTACCCGTTTCTGCATAGAGCAAACCGATGCGTAACGTAGAAATGACGTTTGGATCAGACATACAAAATTTGAACTGTAACATGCTATATATGTCATGGACCCCAGGCTCCCACATCTGAAAAATTCATCCATGATTTCCTTTTATATATTATGTAGCATAAATGATAAAGCATACATCATGATTTTAGTTTTGTACATGTTGTTTGATGTTTACTGTAATTCCACTTACAGTAGCTGTACTTTGTTAGTTTGTAATGGAATTTAGTCAATGAGATGTTGATGTAGATGTCTTTGGAGCTTAAGTTCCAGTTTAGGCCGCTCTTCTCTTTCAGTCTCAGTGCACAGACATCTCATCTTCTGGGGATGATCTAGACCAGAGCTTTGTTGTCGTACATCAGATTCTTCTCTTTCATATGTGAATCTAGCCTTTCCTTAAAAGTTAAAAGCATTCATGCCAGGTCACGTCACCAACGACTCTGGGAGGTTATTCCACTCAGGGTTGAACAAGTCCTATTGCCCACTTGCCCAGTGCAAGTAAAAGTACTGTTCAGGCAAGTGCATGTGCCCCTAGACTTGCCCGATTAGACAAGTAGATTTTTTGGATGCAAAGTATATCCGCTAAGGTGTTTGGAGCAAGTCAAACCACCTTGTTTCGATAAATAAAGCATCCAACATTTATAATATAAACTCCAGTAGAAGATAATTTCATGCATTAAAATGCATAGAAATGTAGGTGTATTTTGGGCAAGTGAAAAGTTGGTTCGGGCAAGTGAAAATGATCTTGTACTTGTCTGATAGGGCAAGTGGATTTTTAAAAACTTGTCCAACCCTGCACCATACTACCATAACGTCTAACTCCCCAATGTTTATGTTCACAGCTGGTGCCGTTGTTCCTAGTGGTTGGACTGGGGGGTTGTGTGGCTGCCGGGTATCTAATGAGGTTGGCTTTTAGGAGCCCCGACGTGTGGTAAGATATCACGGAATCAACAACAACCAACAACAACCTTTAATTTCCAACAACAACCCTTGCTTCCAACAACAGTCCTTACCTTTTCCTCATCTGTAACAGATATTTCCAGGCCTGCAATCATCATTCTTCACCAGCTTACATGCTATTTCGTACTCTGCCTTCTCCACATCTCTGCCTAATTTTGCACCTACCTGATAACCAAGCTTCCATCCCAACACACAACATGTAGGAAGTATGGATCACACTTCAACTTCACTTGCACTTGGTATTTCCAGGCCTGCAATGCTTCATTCTTCACCAACTTACATGCTATATTCCTACTCTGCTCTCTCCATATCTCTGCCTAATTTTGCACCTTCATTATAACCAAGCTTCCATCCCAACACCCAGAATGTAGGGTGGAGATGGTATTTCCAGCCCTACAATGCAGATTCTCCACTAGCGTACTTGTACTTTTCTCTATCCATCTCTGCATCTGCACCTAATTTTGCACCTTCATTATAACCAAGCTTCCCTCCCCTCACCCAGAATGTAGGAAGTGGAGATGGTATTTCCAGCCCTACAATGCATATTATTCTCCATTAGCATACTTGTACTTTTCTCTATCCATCTCTGCTTCTGCACCTAATTTTGCACCTTCATTTTAACAACCTTCTTTCCCCCCACTCAACATGTAGGATCACATTCCAACTTTACCTGCAACAGCCTGCCCATGCAAGTGGTATTTCCAGCTCTGGAATGCATCATTGTCCACTGTGCTCTATCCACCTCTGCTTCTGCACCTAATTTTGCACCTACGTTTTAACCAAGCTTCCCTCCCCCCCTTACACCCCCCTCCCCCAGCTTGTGCCCCTGTTCATCATGGTGGGTGGAGCTGGCATGTGTGCCGGCCTCTACCTGGCAAGGATGGCTTTTAAGCACCCTGATGCTGCGTAAGTCTCATACTTTCCCCCAGTGTTCTCGCCAGGCCTTTTCAGCATAGGGGCCCCCTATGCTGTGATTTGGACCCCATATTCTATGATTTGGACTGTGTCTTTTGGGGAAAATCTTCATAAATCTTGAAAAAAAATGATAGTATAACTTAAGAATGAAGCTATAGCAAAGGGAAAACCTTAACTTCATAAGATATGTCCTTCAGTAAGTGAGAAAATCCTGGTGAGAACCCTGAGCATAGTTCTCACTAGGCTGTTTGAGCATAGGGTCCCCTACACTGTGATTTTGACCCCCTATGCTGTGATTTTGACCCCTATGCTGTGTTTCAACCAGCATAGGGGTGTTTTTTTGGGGAGAACCTTAATAAATCTTGATAAAAATGAAAATATACCTTTGTACCTGACCCCTATGTTGTGAAAAAATCCTGGTGAGAACCCTTACTTTCTCTATCCATGGTTTCACTCTGAGTCTGGGTAAGAGTTCAGGCTGCCCAGTTCTTCCTGTTCTTTCCATTTCTACTCACCCTTCTTCTCTATTATATCATTCCATTTAACACATAACACACTGTTGAGTTATGCAAGTAATAGAATGTTTATATTATAAATTAATGCTAAGTTTTGCTAACAGTAGAAAGATACTACTCTGTAAATTTCAATTTTAAAGAATGAAAAATAGATTTCAAATGTACTTTGTTTTGCATAACCGTCAAACTACCTTTAGCTGTAACACTCCAGTTTTGTGCAGTAAATTTAACCTACATGAGACCAGACTGTAAGGTCCTGCATAGTTTTTGTCTCCTGTGTTGATGTGATGTTTCCCCTCCTGTTTAGCTGGGACAAGAAGAACAACCCTGACCCCTGGAACAGAGTGGCTGCCACGGAACAATACAAGGTTCGTATAAAACAATCCTGCTACAATTCTGTAACAAGTCGCCAAGGGTGGATGGACTTGGGCCCTGCTTTTCAAGTCTGCTCTGTTATGTTGTAAAATGTAGTTTGTTTATTGTTGTAAGAATCAGGTTTTGCCATCATTTTTTGTACTGCAGCTGTATGTCTTACTGTAAGGCTTAGTTTTGTAACTGTCTGGTTTTCTGCTTAGGTTTTTTTTTTGTAATCATTTGCACAGTTTAAGAATCCCATGTACATGTATATGACAGTAACAGTAAAATTTTCAGTGTTCAGTGATCCAAAAATGAGTTCATCAGGCTAGTAGAACCAAGTATTTAACCTCCTTGGTAGAACATAGGATATTGGAATTTTTCCAGTAAGGAAGTAATGCCAATACATGTATCTGGTTTTGAGTGGTGTTGTAGAGACCAAGAAAAACTCCTGACATCCCTGTTTCATGTTTCAGTTCTACTCACCCAACATTGACTACAAGAAGCTGGAGCCCCCACCCAAGTACTGAACGGACGGTCCCTAACCAAGCTGCAGCTGCCATCCAATCACGGGCCTCCTTGCTGAAGCTGTTAGGACTTGTTGTTAACGATGATTGAAAATATGGTTTAAAAAATTAAAATGTGTCTTAGTACCAGTATGGGAATTCTGCAACCTACAGCATCATGAAATAGTGGTTTACATTGATCAACATAGCAGGAACGGCCATAATTTGTCAGTTTTTTCTCTCTCAGAAACAAAAAAAAAACAACCTCAGCTTAGTCCAGAAGCAGGGTTATACATGTAGTAATGGGAACCGTGTACGCAAGAGCATTTTCACCTAGCAACTGTTACCTAGCAACTGTAACCTAGCAACTGTTACCATGGATATATGGCTCTGAAATATACTAGTAGTACGTAATGCTCTCTGCAAGTGACCATATCAGAACTCACTCAGCTACTAAAGCAGATTTTCTAACTGATTCACCATATAAGGATATCACCATGGCTACCGTAACCAAGATATCACCATGGCAACCGTAACCAAGGTAACCACGGCTTGTAGATGCTGCTCTCTGTGACACAGAAGTGCGTGTGTGGAGAAGTGGGATGTACCATTATCGGTGCAGGAGTAGTGGGTTGTACCATTATCAGTGCAGGGGAAGTGGGATGTACCATGTTCTGGTCTGTTGTTGCTGGCCTGTGATGTATAAAAATAAAGACACGTGTGAATGTGTGGAGACAGGAGTTTGTCTATCTGTTTGTGTTTTGAAAATTATCGGTACCTAGCCTCCGTAGCAGGCTTATAGAACTGGGGGTTTGGTGGTCTTCCGCTGTTTTCTGATTAGCCCAGTTCTAAAAACGGGGGTAATTCAACCAGGCCGGCTATGTTGTCTACATGCAATCAGAAAATAGCACATAAAAGCTCCCAAAGACCCTGAAGACCCCCAGTTTTTGGCATGCCATGGAGGCTAACCGGTAGCCTGGTTACCACTCTGCACAGGCTGAGATTGCTTTGGGTACCTTTAAAGCGTTGGAACTTAATGGAAGCTGGGAAAGAAGTTCTGTGTCTTCACTGCTTCTGAATCAGTAGTAAGCTGGCTGACGTCATAACAAAAGTTAAAAGTGTGCTGGTAGCTCTAACATGCTTGAGATGTTAATGGCAAAAACAAGTGATCCACAATAGCAGAGTGCGTGACTCGGAACCTAGAGATCCCGGGTTTGAGTCCTGACATGCCACCGATCTTGTGCCCTTGGGAAAGGCACTTTACACGACTTTCCTCACTTCGCTCAGGTGAAAATGAGTATTGTATTGTCCCGTGTTGGTGGCGACATTAATATAAGTTGAAAAAACTTGAGTGTGTCATCACCACGTCTGGTGACTACATGTTGGAATTAAAAAAAAAGTGATTTACAATTGCCAACGTTTTCTAGTAGGAACTTACACTAGTATAGATGGTCTGCTGCATTGAAGAATGCTGCATATGTTAAAAAACAACTGAGAACCAACAATTTAAATTTGTGTAGGCTCAATGAAAACACAGCCATTAAAACACCAGAGAGAAGCTTTATCTTGAAAGTGTCTCTATTCTCAACATTTTTGCAAATGTTATCAGTGTGTGAGTGAGTGAGTTATCACCTGCTTGGATATTGTCTAATGCCCACTACAAATTAGTAGCCTCCACAGCCTGCCAAAAACTGGGGGGTTTATTTGGGGGGTCTTTGGGAGCTTTTTGGTGTTATTTTCTGATTGCATATAGACAACATAGCCGGCCTGGTTGAATTACCCCCGTTTTTAGAACTGGGCTAATCAGAAAACAGCTGAAGACCGCCAAACCCCCAGTTCTATAAGCCTGCTACGGAGGCAACACCAATTAAAACACCAGAGAGAAGCTTTGTTTTGAAAGTGTCTGTATTCTCAACGTTTTTGTAAATGTGTTATCATCTACTTGAATATTGTATACTACAAATTAGTACAATATCCCCATTGCATACTTGGAAATGTTGGAGCTTTTTCTTGCACTTAAAAATCCACTACATTGCATGAATGTCTATCATACAACACGTAAACATTTTTTCATTGTCACATTACAGTCCTTACACTAAATTCATTTAAAAATTCATGTACAACTATTGAAGAATGCAGCTCCTGAGGAATTGTGTTTGAGTTATATTCCACAAAAGACACGAAATATTAGTTCCTAAAAAGCACACAATAAAAGCACCAAAACATTGAGGTAAAAAATCTCCAGTCCTCTTAAGTACATAATTCATTCCTTTTCCTCTAGTTTGTTAACTTGTAAATCTGTACACAGTAAGTCCGTTAAAACAACCACTTCTAAGCCTGTTTAGCTTCCAAATTTCTAATTCTATATACATGTGCACTAGTAGGGGTGGGTACTAGTTTTGCTTGACAAATCCCAGAGGATCTGAACCTGGACCTGTGTGTATAGTAACAGCCATATTTTAGAAAGCTAGACATGAACATCATAACCCTTGTCTTGCAGAGCACAATTGTTGTTCTGCACATACAGTACCATCTATATAGCACCCTGTATAGGTACGATTTGCAGGTAGGAATGGGGTCCCGGTATTGGTCGATTTCGCGCGCTGCTGCGCGCGCGCGCAAGTGGCCACGCCGTAGCGGCGCTGCGCGCGGGCGCGCAAAGCGCCCCCCACTAGCGGCCGTGCGCGCGTTTTACTGGTACGCCTATGGATTTTGTTGGTACGCGAAACCTGCCAGATCGGGCCTTGGCTGCGCGTGCGCGCATAGCGCCCCCCACTAGCGGCCGTGCGCGCGTTTTACTGGTACGCCCGGGGAACGTGTTGGCGCGCGCGTAGAGCCAAATCAGGCCTTGGTTGTGCGTGCGCAATTTCTGCCATTTACGATCGGCGTTGTGCGCACGCATTGTCTGGCGTATTCGTGCGCGAACAGTGCCCAAACTGTCCATTGCTGCGCCCGCGCGATTCCAGCCACTTATGGTCGGTCTTGTGCGCACACATCGCGTGCTTAGTCAATAGTATTATACTATTATAGTCAACAACGATGATAGATCGGGGATAAAATATTACACAAGTACAAGTAAATGAAGAAGGAAAATGGTCAAACAAGTGGTGTATCATGCAGCGCTAACGTATTAGGGTATTCAGCCTTTATTGAATCATTCATGGACGGTAACTTGTAACAATATCGGTGTATGCTTTGTAAAACCATGGAGGTAGAAGAGAGATAAAACTTGCAAGTGGAACATGTTCTCTATTTTTCATGTAATCTACGAGATAGATACGAGATATGGTAGCCACACAAACGCTAGCTTTACTTAGAAAACTTATTATCTAACACATTCACAAATACCGCTAAGTAACGTAATATATGCTCCCTGGTATCATCTAGTTTAAAGATTATAATTCTCTGTGATCGCCACGCTTAAAATATAGATTACAGCGAGCCCACGCTGATCCCTGATCGAGCCGACTCGGGTGGACTCGTACCAAGTTCGTGGGGGCACGAATACACCAGACAAATTATGCGTCCGCGCAACGCCAATCGTAAATGGCAGAAATTGCGCACGCAAAACCAATTGTAGATTTGGCTCTATGCGCGCGTCAACACGCTCCCGCTTACCAGGCAAAGTGCGCGCACGGCCGCTAATGCGTGGCGCTATGCGCGCACGCGCAGCCATGACCCGATCTGGCAGGTTTCGCGTACCAACAAAATCCATAGTCGTACCAGTAAAACGCGCGCACGGCCGCTAATGCGTGGCGCTATGCGCGCACGCGCAGCCAAGG